TCTCTGTCGACTTCGTCGTTGACCTGCCAGAATCCGAAGGATGCAAGAACATCATGGTCGTAGTAGACCGCCTGTCTAAGTACCGATACATGATCCCCTGCGATAAGATGGAGGCTTCCGACGTAGCACGTATGTTCCTGCGCTACGTCTGGTGTAATCATGGCCTCCCTGATACGATAGTCTCGGACCGTGGCAGACAGTTCGTATCTGCTTTCCATGATGAGCTGTGTGCTCAACTAAGGATAGACCCGCGCTTCTCAACCGGCTACCATCCTGAGACAGATGGACAAACAGAGAACGCTAACGCTGCGATGGAACAAGTCCTACGCGCGTATACGAACTATCAACAAGACGATTGGGTTCAATGGCTCCCCACCGCTCAGTTCGAAGCCAATAATACCGTCTCTGAGTCTACTGGAGTAACCCCGATGATGGCCTGCTACGGTCAGAATCCCCGAATGGGCTTCGAGCCGCCTACCAACAAGACACGTCCCGCCTACCAAGCTCTCCAAGCTCGTGAGGTGAACGCGATGGTGGATAAGATGCGCGACATTACTGAGTTCATCCGTGAAGAAATGACATGGGCTCAAGCCCTACAGCAAGAGTACGCGAACCGCAAACGCCTACCTGCGCCAACATACGAAATTGGCGACGAGGTATGGTTAGACGCGCGTAACATCCGAACGCAACGGGCATCTAAGAAGCTTGATTGGAAGAATCTAGGCCCGTACCGAGTAGCTAAAAAGATCTCTTCCCACGCGTACCGTCTCGAACTGCCCGATTCCATGAAGATACACCCAGTATTTCATGTGTCCTTACTCCGGCCTGCTGCGCCAAAACAGGAGTACCTGCCAGGACAACTTGTCCTACCGCCCGAACCTGTTGTTGTAGACAACGAAGAAGAATACTTTGTAGAAAGTATCGAAGACCTCCGTTACAATAAGCGTCGTAGACGACATGAATACTACGTTAAATGGACAGGCTATGACGAGATGACCTGGGAACCCGCTGCAGACCTGAAGGATAACGCAGCCGTAGCTGGTTTCCATAAGAGGTTTTCTGACATCTTGGAGCCACCCGAAGTAATGCAAGAGTAAGAGACATGATCTCTACTCACAGGAGCTCAAGAGTAAGAGGGGGGTACTGTTACGGTAACCACCGTGGTTCCCCTAACACCTGAACGCACAGATTTCGGGTGGCTCGCCAGTCCACCCGAAATCTGTTAATTGGCCAGCTAAGGCCTGAGCGCCGCGCACGGCCCTAGCTATATCTTTCACCGCTTTGCATTCTGTTCTGTTCCTTACGCAACGTCTTGTATTACACTAGATATTATACGTAGCTACAATTAACGCTTCTTGTAAGCTCTTAAACACGTGCTCGTAGCGTCTTGTGACACTTAGGGTACATGCGCTTAAGTATTAGACGCGACTCGTAGTTCATATTAATTGTATTATTATTAGTATTGTAATTAGTATTAGTATTATTATTATTCTTAGAATTAGTATTAGAATTAGTATTAGAATTAGAATTAAAGATGTAGAATAAAGAGAAGTATCTCTAGCGCAAGAGAGGGGTTTTATACTCTTACAGCTGCGCTCTTCTAACTCTAAACTAGACCCTCGCGGAAATCTCTGCACTTGCAGCACTATAGTTTAACGCTGTCTTCAACTATAGTTAACTTACGCAGCACTATAGTTTAACTTAATCTTTAACCGCATTTTACTCTTAAAGCAGCACTACTACAGTTCAACGCTACCTCCACCACAGTTGCCCACTAAGTCCTATAGTTAATAGAAAGGCTTCTATTTAATATTATACTGCGTTTCTATTCCTAGCCCTTCTACTAATAAGAGCTGCCTATTATTGCTGTTAGCACCTACCTCTGTAGCTTAAAAAGCTTATTTCTACGTTAACTCCTAGATAGAGAATATTTTAACATTTATACAGCCCTTTAAACCTACAGCTTGCCTATCGCTACCTTTAAGCCTACCTCTAAGTCTACTAGAAACGCCTCTATTGCTGTTACGCCTATAAGCACGTCGTTGTTAAAGCACTAGATCTATAGCAAACGTTACTAAGAGAGAGTTTTATTAATGCCTATAGCTGTATACAGCGAATACAAGGTGTTTAGGAAATACACCTACATTAAGATTACTACATAGAGTTACTAACTGCGTTTTGTTGCCCTGCTCTGCATCAACACTCTACTGTAATAGCTAATATAGCTAATTCTTTATAAGCTAAGTATAATCTAGTTTAGATTAGTCTAAAGTAGCTTAGTATATTTATTAAGTACTAACTAAAGCTTTAAGTAAAGTTTAATTATAAGTATAACTATAAGAAAGCTTTCTATAAAGACTCTATAGCTATCTAAGCCTAGTTCTAGCTAGTAGCTAATATAAAAGCTAAGTATAGTATTTAGAATAAGAATACTTATAACTTTAATAAGACTAGCTTTATAATAAGTATAATATTAATAAAAGCTATTATTCTAGCTTTAGAAAAGTAAGAATAACTAAAGTCTATCTAGCTATGTAATTATAAGTAGACTATAGTTATTTAAAGTATTAATATAATAAAATAGACTTCTCTCTAGGCCTAAGAGATAGAACCTATAGTGTACTTTTTTTAGAATTACGTGATAACGCGTTACTATATTAGACCTAATAGTAAACTTAAAAATCTTTAATATAAGCCTAGATTTGCGCTTTATAACTTTACGCTACATTCTATAATTACTAAGATAACTGTTTTTACGCGCGCGATTATTATAATACGCTTTATATTTATTCTATATTACTAATAGTTCTTTAGATTATTAACTAGCACTAATATTAGTTTTATATAATTAAGCAATACTAAAAGAAAATCTAGTAAGTCTATCTACACTAGTATAAAGTCTCTAAGATAATCTAAGATACTTATATAATACTTATATAATTACTAGTAACTTATATTCTATATATAATAACCTAGTAAGCCTAGCTATTTTAGTAGCTATATTACGCTATTCTCTATTATTCTAACTATCTACTCTACCTATTATTGCGCGTCTATTAGTATAGCTTAATACTATACTATAATTCTAGCGTCTTCTAGAGCTAGTAAAGCGCTATCTACTTTTAGCTAATAGAAATGTTATTACGCGTAACTTTAATAAACTTAAGCTTCTTTTAGATTACTAGTATAACTACTAAACTAGCTAGTTTCTTATTTAGTATTAAAAGTTAACTAAACTATTTTTCTATAATTATCTATGTAGTAAGAGAAAAAAAGTCTATATAAGCTAAATACTATATAGCTATAATATATAAGCCTATAAAGCGTCTTTAGTCTAAGTTAATTACTACTATAATCTTAATACTATTATATTAGAAGCTCTTTACTAGCTTTATCTTTATAGCTAAAGTCTTTAGGTCTACTATTTTAGAGTCTTTAGTAAAAACTAAAAAGTTAAATAAGCTACTTTTATAAGTAGTAAGTTCTACTATAGTTATATATTTTATTATACTAATAGCCTAGATATCTTTAAAAATAGAGGCCTCTATTCTAAGTATAAAAAAGAAATTAGTTTATACTATATATTCTTAGTAGTTAATAAATATATTAGTAGATATTTATAGATATTTTATATAAATATTATATAAGGTAGCTATTCTCTAAACTATATTTTAACTACGTAAATTATCTCTAGACTTATAGTACTATAGTATAATATTATCTTAAACTTAGAGTTTACTTATATAGTACTATAGTTTAAAGCTATTTTTAACTTATTTACTTCTAAAGCTAATATAAAAACTTCTATTTAATATTATACTACGTTCTAACTTCTAGCTCTTTTACTAATAAGAGCTTACTTTTTATTACTATTAGTACTTACTTCTAAAAGCTTATTTCTATATTAATATTTTTAGAAATAGAATATAGCTCTATAGCTTAACTATATATATTTTTAAATTAATACCTAAGTCTACCTCTAAGTTTATAAGAAGCTCTATTACTATTACTACTTATAATTATATTATTAATATACTAGATCTATAGTAAATATTATAGATAGAGTTTTATTAATTTCTATAGCTATATATAGTAAGTATAAAGTGTTTAGAAAATATACCTATATTAAGAATAATATATTAAGTTATCTAACTGCGTTTTATTACTCTGCTCTGCATTAACACTCTACTATAATTACTATTTTTAATTTTTTATTATAGTAGTATAGCTAATAGAGTATTCTATCTAGGTTAGAAATTTTAGCAAAATAACGCTAAAATTTATAAAACTAAAGAGATTTTATCTTAGTTTTTTAGAAATAGAATTTCTATCTTTAAGTATTCTAGCTATAGCTCTAATTTAAATTCTATAGAAAATATTTAGAGCTTTTTAAAAAACTCTCTAAATAAAAGGCCTAGTATCTCTTTAGGCCTAGGTACTAGTAAGAAGAGTATAGAAGCTTTTATTAAGGCTATACTAGAAGAGTAGAATTTAATACTGCAAGAGGCTATAGATAATTATATTTTATCTTTGCCTAGAAGATATAACGTAGTAATAGATGCTAAGAGGTAGTTTACTAAGTACTAGCTAGCTAGTAGAATTAACTAAGATTAAAAAGTCTAAGAAAAAGCTTTTCTTTACAACTTTTAATTCTCTTAATTAAAAACTATATTATTTAAGTATAAAATACTTTTTAGTACTTAGAATAATATATTAGATTTTTAGTAATTTTAATACTACTATTAAAAAGTTATCTTAGGGTTTATAGTATCTTTTTTATCTACTTAGTTTTGCTACTATACTAGACTACTCTAGTATTTATTTTTAAATATAATTTCTAGCCACTATTACAGACCTAGTTTTTCTCTTTCTAAAACTTAGAAAATCTAGTTTAGAGGTCTTTTAGTTCTAGAGCTATTAGCTAGTAAAAACTAGAACTTTTGAAATTGGTTTTTCTTTATGTCACCCCTCTGTAATAGCAAAAGAAGCAGTGATGAAAATGAGAAGTAGAACGACAATTGTTTGGGGATGCTAGAGTAACCATGGAGCTATCTATCTAGGAACGCAGGGTAATTAACCACATTGGAACAGTATAGTAAGGAGGCCGACTCCTGTTGTACATGGAAAGATGGTCCACCGGAAATGTTTTACGTAATCAGTTCTTCCTCCCCTGGGAATACGTCTTCAGAACAAGGTACGTAAGGATCATTGTGAACAAGCTCATCGCAAGTCCACCAATCCAAGATGCCTCAGCTTCTTCTCGCATCTTGTCACCACTAACAAAGAGAACGACCCAAGCCCTATTACCCAGCCCTAAAACTGTTCCAGTGCACCAGCAACTTTCGTAGAACCCGATCAGCTCGAAAATAGAGCTTAAGATGATCCAGATGGCGTTGAAAATGGCAATGGATTTACCGAAGAACCGAGAAGCCACGGCGAGTCGAGGAATCCATTTGCTGCTGCGGGCGCCATTGTGCGTTACGCCCTCGGCTTGTTTCATGAGCTCTGTCTGATACCCAAGCATCACCTCGTGTGAGAGAAACACTGATGTCAGTAGAAGAACATGAGCGGAAGTAGCAAGTATGCCGTACCTAAACAGTACGAGTACAAAGTTAGTGCATGACTACGATATAGTCTGTAATAGAGCATTTCTTACAGTAGATAACTACCAGAGCGACAGCCGAGGCCACGCACCTCCGTCAGGTACGATATAACAATAGCAGACCCAGTGACACCCCACTGAAGAAATATAGCGATGGCATTGGAGACCACGAAGTTCCACACCCAGTCGGAGTTTCCTCTAACATCCTTCCATTGCATGTACGGCTGATCATCTTCGAAATTTGAGCCACTTTCAAGTTGTGGGCCCTCTCCAAGATCTGAGCAATCTTCGGGCAAGGCTGAATTATTGTTGGTAGTATTGTGACATCGAGTAGGGCTAGTTCGTGTGCGAGATGAAGCTGAATCGGGATGCGAAGCATGAGTGAAACTAGTTGTTTGAGCTTTCTGTGCAGATAGCGATTTGACTTTGTCTTCAAATGCGCTAAGGACTCTGTTTCGTAGCTTTGGATAAGTTAAGATACGTGCATAGTTATAGACAGGGCCTTGATGAGCTTCATCCCCTTGAACTTTACCTAACAAGGCATCTTCCATCTTCTTTGACGGTAGTCGAATGAAGCCAGACTCGGCTTTTAGTGCTTTCACTTCTTTCATTGGGTCATATTTCCCATTTATCCTCTCGCCTCGTAATGCGTCTTGTACCGTATTCGGTCGTGACTGCATTCCGACAGCCATCCAACCCAAGACTATCGGAATCAACCACGTCCATAGCGTGCCAGAAGAGAGCAGGAGAGCTTCAGAATGCTGACCGAGCGATGTAACGTACGATCCAATGATGGTCAGAACCCAAGCACCGACTGCAAAAAAAGTCTGCGCAAAGAGGGAGAAGGTGTATGGTCGGCGAGTGTCATCGAGACGCCTTGCGAGAGGTACCCATTGGTCATGTAGCCGCTTTTCATCATCGTGGAACAGCTTTCGAAAGTCATCATCTTGAATCCTGATAGGACATTGTTGAGAGGCGCTAAGAAAGTGCTTCGCTGACACTATCGCTTCTTTCATGTCGGATGTTGGGTGATAGTCAGATTTGAGTAGGTCAGTGAATGCTTCCGACGTGGTGCGTGCATTCATGGCTGTAGACATAAGAGAGAAAGTGGTCAACATCGGGCTTCCAACGGCTAGGCAGAAGCTTTCGAAGTCCCCGGATGGGGACCCCGTCTCGTACGGAAGTTGCGCTGTCAGGCCTAGCCACGGTAACAAGTAGTTTGTCACACCGGATGTAAAGATTGGAAAATCAAAGACCTGCTAGGATTCAGCATTGAAGTGGGCAGGCTAGAGCACCTGTGGCTATACCATGGGGAAGTTCGATCTGCCGCAGTATGAATGACAAGTCTTCATATCAATACCCCATGCATTCCATACATCCTTGACGAGCTCCACGGGCTTGTAGCCATTCTGCGCGACCAGACCCGCGGCTATATCTGTATGGTTCTTAGCTTCGAGAAGGCGTCGTACACACTTTGCTGCCCATGACGAGCCTTGGCCAAGGGGCTTCAGGAAATCCTGTAGCTGGGAATCGTTCATGCTTTAGAGATGTGGAAATGAGGTCGAAATCACAAGCAAGTGCTTCCCTGCAATTTGCAAGGGCGACCTCGATAGATATCAGAGTAGGAACACCGATGATATGCTCTGCGCCTCTACGAGATCATCGGGTGCGTTGGCTTTCCGGTGAATGCATCAATCTCGCCCCAAGGACCAGGCTGACAGCCAGCCCTTGCGAGAGCTTCGGGTGGCGCAAGCATGTGATAGCCACTCATCAAAGCGGCTAAATACGCAGCTGCTGATTTGTTACGCACCAATCAGGGCGTACTCCTCAGCTGGTCATGGTATGTGATAACGCAAAAGCAACGTGCTACTCATGGTTTTGGCAATACATACAGCGCGAGGATGTAGAGGCAACCGTCAATAGGACATACCAAGAACACTACATATTTGTCAGCTGAGCAACTTACACAAGGCTGGAGGTATGCTCGCGATACCATTTGAATTCAACTTGCTGGTATCGTCAAGACAGATCTTCCCCAAGATCTCTCTGGATGTACTTTGTTGTTGCGGCTATTGCACATCGTTATTCGCAGGCGGACACATACTGGCGAGCAAATCGCGCACGCGTAGAGAGATGACGCAGCATTGTGTCTGGTGTGCTGACCTTCAGGGCGGCTAAACTAGAAGGAGCATAGTCTTATCTGACGAGGCAAACCAGGCGTTCAGTGGTTGGCAGACAAGAACTCTTTCCATAGCACGATGAAATCTCAACGTCATGGAGTAGCGTCAGAGCTGACATCAAGTATCTTGATAGAGAAATTTCCTACTGAACAGAGTGTTTCTCCACACAGAAATAGACAAGACATATGTTGTACATTCACTCACGAATCAAGTATTCCATGTGTCGCTGTTGTCGACAAGGTCCACACGCTCGCTCGCCTTGCAAACCGCTCTTGGGTTTTTGACTTTTGCTAGGATCCAGAGTGGTAAGGTCTCTACATTTCGCCACGGCCTTTCGCACTGCTATGAAGCTTGCACTGGCTCTTATTATATACTCTTCTTTCGTCTACGCCTGTCTTTTAGTCTATAGCACGACAAATCTCCTAGTGTTGTTAGCGTTCTATCATTTCGAATCAGGGCAACACTAGAAACATCAAATACCATAAACCAGATGATTAATTCATCTTTATATAAACAAATTACACATGCAACGCTAACACACGACACCATCCCTTCCCCGTCTCTACCGACGAAGTAGTCTGAAGCTCAGCACACCTAGTATACAAGAGCATCAAGCGGCGCCTTGCCCATCTTGATAACGCCAGAACAAAAAAACACATCAACATGCCCGATACTTTTCCCGCACCTCTACTTCATGCACAACAACAAACACTACTTCTTCTTCCCCTTGCCCTTAGCCTTGGTCGCCGAACCCTTGGTCGCCGAACCATTCGTAGCAACACTGCTCGCCCTACTCGGTGTCGCACTCGCCGGTAAGGCCTTGGCTTTCACTGTATCGAGTTGCTTGTTCTGCCGCTCACGTTAGTATTCCCATCAACACCCAGCAATGCACGGCATTCGACATACCTTGACCCCATTCTTCGCCTCCTTCCCCTTTGGCTGCTCAACCTCTTCTTCTTCCTCCGTCTCCTCGTCCTCATATCCTCTCTTGCCATTTTTATTCTTAACATCCCCTTCACCGAGCTCCCTCACAATAGCCAAGATAAGCGTCGTGCATCGTCTTCCAATCTCCTACAGTGTGCGCGAGAGGAAGAACTAGTCAAAGCAAAACAACAGACTCTTGTGAATCTTATCGCGAATCTTCTCGTAACGTAGGTGCATAGCGAGTGACGCAGACAAGCAAGTAACGCACTTTTGCTAAGACCTAACTAAAACTACAACTATACACAACTATATAGCACTATTAAGAATAGTAATTAATATTTATAGTAGACTAAGTTAATTAGAAACTTCTACTATATCTTACTTATATATACGTAAGTTATATTCTACTTTACTATAGTGTTAAGGTCGTTCTTCGAGTTTGTTCTTAGAGACAAGTAAGCGAGGTAGAATAGAGTAGTGTACTAGCATAATTAGTAGATTAATGTAATAGTACAGAGGTATAATAGCATAATTAGTAGATTAATATAATATTATAAAAAGTTTATAGAAAGAAGTATAATTCTTAGATTAAATACTAAAGTCTTATATAAAGTTAAATACACTAAGCTATAAGAGTATAGTATCTAAGCTATATACTTATATAGTAGTTATAGTAACTTCTAGTAATAGTAAATATAACTTTCTAGTAGTAGTTATAATAGTATTACAAGTAACAAAGAAGAATTCTCTCCTTGTTAGAGGTAGAGGGTTAAAGACTAACTAGGACCTCTAACAGAAGGCAATAATTATTGCAGGGCTAGGGGTTACGTAATATACTACCCTACTAAGGCTAACTATTAGAGATAGTAGTATATAAAGAGATAGTACTACTATTATAGACATTCTATAAAGATAGAATAGACAAGATAGTAGAACCTAGAGTAATAGGTATAAGAATATATTAGATTTTATTATTATATTTATTATAGTTAACTGAAATAGTTTATCTCTTACATAGATTATTAACTAGTTATTCTATTATTTATAGAATTAGATTGTCTTTACCTATAGTTATTCTATAATAACTCTTTTCTATAAAATTGCTAGACAAACCTTATAGACTACCGCTTTAGTCTACCTCGCCTTAGTACAGACTAAGCCTAGAGAAGTATAGCCTAACTCTGTGTAATAAATAGTTGTAATTACTTTTAGTAATAGTTCTTAGTAGAGTAAGTAATAACTCTTAGTAGAGTAATTAGTTATATAACTACTAATAGTTATTATTCTAAAGAATTATTATTCTAGTTCTAAGTTATATAGCGTAGTTATAGCGTAGTTATAAGCGTCTTAACTCTAGGTTATAATACTATCTTTCTCTTCTAAGAATTTATTCTTAGATTATCTAATCTTAGTCTTACTTAGCTTATAAGTAGAGTTACTCTGCGCGTATTATAAGCTCTAGAGGTCTACTATATTATCTAAGTTCTATAAATGTTAGATCTATCTTACTTAGAAAATTCTTAACGCTAATTTTATTTCTAATATTACTTATAATAAGTGCTTTATTAATAATTAGTCTTATTATATTATACTAAATTCTTCTCTTAAATGTGCAGAATGCACGTATCTTAGCTAGTTATATATTAATATATCTTAGGCCTCTTTAGATAAAACTTATAAAAAGTATTAAGTAAAAGTAGATAAAGATAAAAAGTTATTAGTAGAGGTAATTACGCGCTTACTACGTGATAAGAAAATACTAGTATAAGCTAATAAGCATATATAAAAGAAGACGCTATATCTTACGTTAGAGATAGAGGTAGAGAGTAAGAATATAAACGCAGAGAGTATAGACTATCTAGTAGTATCTATTAGAATAGCGTTTTTACCTATAATATAGTCTACCTTAGGTAGTCTTAATACTATAGTAGTCTTATATAGTTATACTAAGTTCTCTAATAATACTTTATAAGGTATTAACAGCAATTTATAAAATTTATATCTAGCTTCTACGTAGCTTAGTTCTTATTATACTCTAACTATTTAATTAAGTACTCTATTCTATTATTATCTTATCTATACGTAAGGATTTTTTTAACCTTATAGACGTTGTTTTCTTCTAGTTCTAGGTAAAGAGTTTTCTAGAATAGTATTTTAGAGTAAGCTAGTTCTAGTATCTTAATATAGAATTATAGGTAGATTTTTACGTTAGATAGAAGGTTAAGTATATAAGTAACTAGGTCTTTTTTATTAAGAATTAAAAATAGTCTAACTTTAACGTTGTTAAGTCTCTTGTTAGGTTGCTTAGTGCGAAGATTCTTTATAAGTAAATAAACTTTATCTCTCTTCTTTAGCTAAGGTGCTGTTTTTTATTTCTTATTAATATACAAAATACTTTAGTATTATGCCTCTTTAAGTTTCTTCTTAAGTAACTTATATACTATCTTTAGCTTATCTATAGTAGTAATAGCTACTTCTATTTTTAGACTAGGAAATGTGCGTGTAAAGAGATTTAGGTGTCTTTTATAGTTTATATAGAATAGAGTTTATTCTATAGACTCTAAAAGTTTATTATTATACGCTATCTAGGCTATAGGTAATAGAGATACTTAGTTGTTTTGCTATTTGTTAGCGTAGATGCGTAGGTAGACTTTTATAGTATAATTTATTCGCTTAGTTTATCTATTTATCTAGGAATAGTAGGCTGTTAATAGCTTTCTTTAAGTTCTAATAGTAGCTAGTAAGGTAGTCTAGAAGTTTAAAGTAAAGAGCTTATCTCTATTACTAATAATTAACTTTAGAATACTATAGTGTTAGATAATATAATTATTAATAATATGTGTAAGCTATACTACTATAAAATCTTTTCTAAAGGCGATGTACTTAGCTTGCTTTATAAAGTAATTAACTACTACAAGAATTATATTATAGAACACTTTAGTTATAGAGTCTCTTAAGACTAGAAGGCCTATTACAAAGTCTATTAAGATATCTAACTAAGGTTAGTTAGGTAGCTCTATTACTTATATTTCTTTATAGAGTGCGTAGGTACTATACTTATTCTTTTAATAGTCTGCGCACTTAGCTATAAAGGTAGTAATCTTGTTCTTTATATTTAGAAACTTGTAATTTTATTTAATAAGTTCTATTATTCTAGTAATACTAGAGTAACTATATATAAAGTTATTATAGTGTTATTTAATAATTACTTCTTATAACTCTTCTAGTACTATGCTAGTAACTTACATAAGTAGGTTTAGCGTTTTAGCTAGTTCTAATAACTTATTATTATTAACTTTAAGTATTATAGTATCTGTAATAGATTTAGTTCCTGTAATATTATGTTTTTAGCTAAGAGTATTAGCTCTACTATTATCTTTTCTAGGTGTATATATAATCTTAAACTTATACTATCTAAGTTTTTCTAACTATTAAACCTATTAATAGTTAAGAACTTTAGTTATAGTAAAGTTTACTAAGTTCTTATAATCTATAAATATTATAAGCTCTAAGTAGCTTTTAGTATATACTCTCTAGTGTTTTAGATAAGTAATAATAGCTAGAAGCTCTTTATTATAAATGTTATAGCGTTTCTCTAGTTCTAAGAACTTATATAAGTAATAAGTAATTAAATACTATTAGCCTTTATATAGCTAACTAGCGTAGTCTCTAAGTATAAGGTCTAATGCGTCTATCTTAAAACGTAGTAGTTATTCTATTTAGAATATATAGAAGTATAGTAGAGTTATGCTTATATTCTTAAGCGTCTAGAAGATATTTTCTACTTTCTTACTCTATATAAAAGGTGTATTCTTTTGTGTAAGCTTAGTTAGAGAAATAGCTATCTTAGAGTAGTTCTTAATAAACTATTAGTTAAAGTTTAGAAATTCTAGAAAGAACTATATCTTCTTAACTAAGGTTAGTTAGAGCTATTTCTTAATAAGCTTAATCTTTTTTTTACTTATACGTACTCTGTTAATTTCTATAACATAGCCTAAGAAGTTAACTTTCTTCTAGTAGAACTTACACTTCTTTAGCTTAATTTATAAGTTATACTAGTCTAAGTATCTTAGCACTATATAGATATGCTTAATATAATCTTCTTTATTTATAAAGTAGATAAGAATATTATCTAAGTATATAATAATAAAGATATCTAAGTATACTCTTAATACGTTATTAATAAGCGCTTAGAATATTACTAGAGTATTGTTACAGGTAACACAAAGGATTCTCTCCTTGACATGGGGTGAAGGGGTTGAAGGCCAACCACGACCAAGTCAGAACGCAACGATGATCGCGGGGCTCGGGGTCACGTGATCAGGATTGGCATCCCGCCAAGACCAGGCCTCCGGGAGGCCAGTGGGGCTAGGGAAGCCACGGTCCTCCCAAACCTCCCTCTGGGATGGGAGGCCAGGGAGGACAGGACCTAAGGCAATGGGTATAAGAATGTGTTGGATTTCATTATTACACTCATTGTGGTCAACTCAAATAGTTCATCTCTTACACAGATTGTTAACTAGTTATTCTATCGTTTATAGAATTGGATTGTCTTTACCTGCAGTTATTCCACGATAACTCTTTTCCACAGAATCGCCAGACAAACCTCACGGACTACCGCTTTAGTCTACCTCGCCTTAGTACGGACCGAGCCTAGAGAAGTATAGCCTAACCCCGTGTAACACTTTGACCACCATCGGATTCAGTGGACGTGAATAACAACCAGGTTGCCCGATTAAGGAAGATGTCAGCCCCAAGAGTCACTCAGAACAACGCGGCCCAGGGTCCGGGACCCTCGGCACCAGCACCAGCAAACAATGAGATGCTGGATGCATCCGACTCGGAGACAGAAGATACTCCCAGTGCCACGGAGCTCAGACACCTTAGGCAACAGGCCCAAGTTCAGTCTCGGCAGATGCTCGAGATGCAGAACATGATCAATCAGCTTGCAAGTCAGCTGATGGCCACCCCCAACGAACGATCATCTACTACGAAGAAACCCAAGATGGCGTCACCCGAGAAGTACGACGGAAGTCGAGAAGAACTGCGAACGTTCCTCACCAACATCGACTTGTACTGCGAGTTCAACGAAGTACCCAACGACCAGGAAAAGATCCTCATGGCAAGCACGTACCTGAAAGGAAAGGCTTCCAATTGGATGCAGCCATACGTGGACGACTACCTTACGGATATCACGCAACATGGAACTAAGGAAGAAACCCGAACCATGTTCGCGA